TATACAGTCACTTATTTGAAATGGTATAGGTTCTCCTGTTTGAGCAGGGGGCTGGACTAGAAGACCTCCAAGGTCCCTTCTATTCTATTCTATTCTATTCTATTCTATTCTATTCTATTCTATTTGAATTCTATTCTATTCTATTCTGTTCTGTTCTGTTCTCTGTTCTCTATTCTCTATATTCTATTCTATTCTATTCTATTCTATTCTATTCTATTCTATTCTATTCTACTCTATATTCTATTCTATTCCATTATATTCTATATTCTATTCTATTCCTACTCTACTCTACTCTACTCTATATTCTATTCTATTCTATTCTATTCTATTCTATTCTATTCTATTCTATTCTATTCTATTCTATTCTGTTCTATTCTATATATTCTATTCTATATTCTATTCTATTCCATTCCATTCCATTCCATTCCATTCTACTCTACTCTACTCTACTCTACTCTACTCTACTCTCCTCTACTCTACTCTACTCTATTCTATTCTATTCTATTCTATTCTGTTCTGTTCTATTCCATTATATTCTATATTCTATTCTATTCCTACTCTACTCTACTCTACTCTACTCTACTCTACTCTACTCTACTCTACTCTACTCTATTCTATTCTATTCTTCCACAGTCCAGTTCTGGAGTCTTGTGTAGGTTTCCCAGGCTGCTGTCTCCACTCCTGAATCAAACACCAAACGGAGATCCTTTCTCATTCCACCTGTACAAAAGAACTGTAGAGCACAAATATCTTTCCAAATTCTGAACCAGGTTTAGGGACCCCAAAGGTGTTTTTTTCCAAAAGGCAACTGGACCTTCTTGGTTTCCTTTCCTTGAAAACTTTTCACTTCTCATCCAAGAAGCTTCCTCAGTTCTGATTTCAGTCCATTCAGTTCAGCTTCTTAGATGAGAAGTGCAATGTTTTAAAGAAACCGCCCCCCCCCCAAGAAATTCCAGTTGCCTTTTGGAAAAGCCTCTTTGGGGCAACCATGACCTGGAGGATTGAGAATCTCCATAAATAGGTTTAGGGATCCAGGTAAGATGCTGAGACTCTAGAAAGAGTACAGAGAAGAGCAACAAAGATGATTAGGGGACTGGAGGCTAAAACATACAAGGAACAGTTGCTGGAATTGGGTATGTCTAATTTAACGAAGAGGACGAGGGGGGACATGATAGCAGTCTTCCAGTATCTCAGGGGCTGCCCCAAAGAAGAGGGAGTCAAGCTATTATCCAAAGCCCCTGAAGGCAGGACAAGAAGCAACGGATGGAAACCAATCAAGGAGAGAAGCAACCTGGAACTAAGGATAAACTTCCTGACAGTTAGAACAATTAACCAGTGGAACAACCTGCCTCCAGAAGCGGTGAATGCTCCAACACTGGAAGTTTTTAAGAAGAGACTGGACAGCCATTTGTCCGAAATGGTATAGGGTTTTCGTGCCTGAGCAGGGGATTGGACTAGATGACCTCCAAGGTCCCTTCCAACATTCTTCTTCTTCTTCTTCTTCTTCTTCTTCTTCTTCTTCTTCTTCTTCTTCTTCTTCTTCTTCTTCTTCTTCTTCTTCTTCTTCTTCTTCTTCTTCTTCTTCTTCTTCTTCTTCTTCTTCTTCTTCTTCTTCTTCTTCTTCTTCTTCTTCTTCTTCTTCTTCTTCTTCTTCTTCTTTTCTTCTTCTCCTTCTCCTTCTCCTTCGTAGTACATAGGTCAGTTAAAGGCTCCATGGTTGAACTCACACCTCACTTTAAGCTAGGTTAGTCTTAGCTTTACTGAGGGGTTTTGTGTGTGTGTGTGAGGGGTGGGGTTAAGGTTTAACAACTGCCTTGCTTAGCAAGAAAATTCTGGTCCCAATTGTGACTGTAAGTCAAGAACAACGTGTATTGAAAAGCCATGATAACTTTCACTGATAGGAGCCAAGGAAGGAGATGGAAGGAGAACATTCTGAGCATCAAGCCAACATCAAATGCCGACCAGAGATTGTTGTAGTTCCCTCCCCACATTTCCTAAGAAATGCACTGCTAGCACATTTTATTGCTCCAGACATTTACCTAGCTAGACTTTATTGGCTTTCTGAAAAGCTGTTGAGCTGGCAATGGTCCATATCAACAAACTAAGTGTTTGAATGGTCTCCGTGCCAGCCATTAATTTCCAGTTTGTTTTTATTGTCCTACAGGTTGGCTGCCAAGATCCTTATCAGCAGGTGGAACAAATGTCTGCATTCATCATGTATCAAAGACGCAGGCAAAGAAAGAAAGAAAAAGAAAGTAGGCAGGGGAAAGATTCTACCTAGCTGGAATTAAAGCTAGGAAGGGTCAAATCTGGCAGAATCCAACCACTTTGGTCAAGAATCAAAGACAAGGTGCCAACACTATCGTTTCTCTCCTGAGAAGTTTAACATTGCATGTTACTCTAAATTAGAACATAGAATAACAGAGTTGGAAGGGAGTTTGGAGGTCATCTAGTCCAACTCTCTAAACAAGCAGGAGAGTCTATACGGTTTCAGACAAGTGACTGTCCGGTCTCTTCTTGAAAGCCTCCAGTGATGGATCACCCACAACTTCTGAAGGCAACGCATTCTACTGATCGATTATTCTCGCCATTAGGAAATTTCTCCTTAGTTTGGCTATTTAGTTGGGTTTGGCCAGTCTAAAGAAAAGAAGAAATAGGGGAGACATGATAGCAGTGTTCCAGTATTTGAGGGGCTTCCACAAAGAAGAGGGGGTCAAGTTATTTTCCAAAGCACCAGAAGGCAGGACAAGAAACAATGGTTGGAAACTGATCAAGGAGAGAAACAACCTGGAATTAAGGAGAAACTTCCTGACAGTGAGATCAATTAACCAGTGGAACAGCTTGCCTCCAGAAATCGTGGGTGCCCCATCACTGGAGATCTTTAAGAAGAGACTAGACAATCACCTGTCTGAGATGGTGTAGATTCTCCTGCTTGAGCAAGGGGCTGGACTAGAAGACCTCTAAGGTCCCTTCCATATTTTATTCTATTCTATTCTATTCTATTCTATTCTATTCCATTCTATTCCATATATTCTATTCTATTCTGTTCTAGTTCTAGATTGGTTCTCTCCTTGATTAGTTTCCATCCATTGTTCTTGTCCTGCCTTCTGGTGCTTTGGTAAATAGTTTGACCCCCTCATCTTTGTGGTAGCCCCTCAAATATTGGAACATTGCTATCATATCCCCCCCCGACCTTCTTTTCACTAGAGTAGACATAACCAATTCCTGCAATAGTTCTTCATATGTCTTCGTTTCCAGCTCCTTAATCATCTTTGCTAGCACTCTTTCTAGAGTCTCAACATAAATTACGGAGTGGCTTCTTTGAATCTGACATTAAAGGTTGCCTGAACCTGGTCAGGAGTCTTTATCAAAATGGGCCACGGATGGTGTGGTAGGACTCCAATCCACCAGGGCTTCTTCCACACCTAGAATTAGCAAAACACAGCTTAGTGTGACAGGGAAAGCTACCTATTTCTCCATTTAGACTCTGGACGACGGAGAGGTGTCCATCTACTTACTTTGTCCTCCTTGTGTGTTGAGATTCAAAACTTCAACCTCCAACCGAGATGCGTTTCTCTTCAAAAGCCACAATTATCAGAATGTCTCCATCTCTGCGATTGCACCTCCCCATTCTCCCTTTTGCTTCCTCCTTGGGAAATTTCCCAGTGTGTTTTTTAAGCAAATAACACAACATCGTAGGATTGCATCCCTGGATTAAATAACGGGAAATCAACTTTGTGTGCAATCCCACTCAAGTGACGCCGGTCCAGGTTTTTTCTAATCTCCCGGAGCTGGTTTTAGTTGGGGGCTTAATTTTCCGATGACAAAGGGTGGTCCTCAAGACTTTTGATGCCAAATCAAAAAAATCCAGAGCCATTTTTCAGTATTGCACCGAATAGGTTGGACTCAGTCCTTGTTTACAAAATCACTTCTGTTTCTAAAGTCCTGGCTTTGTTCTGCCAGATCTAATAATCTTTGCTGCCCTCGTCTGGCGACGAATGAATTTTTCCCCCTCTCTTTTAATATCGTAATTAGGCCGTGCAAGTAATCTCAACTTATAACCATTCGTTTAGGGGTCGAAGTTACAACGGCACCAAAAAAGGTGACTTGTGACCGTTTTTCACATTCACAAGTGTGGCAACATCCCCAGGTCACATGGTCAAAAATTCGCTTGGCAACTGGCATGTACTTATGCCTGTTGCGGTTTCCCGGGGTCACCCGATCACCCTCTGTGACTTTCCCATCCCGGTCCCAACAAACAAACACAATGGGGGAAGCCAGATTCGTTTAACAGCCGCATGATTCACTTAACAATTGTGGCAGAAAAGATCGTAAAATGGGCCAAAAGTCACTTGTGTAACAACGGACCTTTTGAACTCCATTGTGGTTATAAGCCAAAGACTAATTGTGATCACAATCTGCAACTTTTTCTCAACACAATGGGGACTAAATTCTCAGAGGTTCCACCTTGGCCAACGCTGAATCTAAAAAGTTGATTTTTTAATTATTATTTTTTTTGCAAGGAGATGCAAAGCGGGGTGGGTGGGTGGAGGGGGGAAATGTATTTTTAAATACCCCAAGCAAGAGAGAATAAATAACCCCTTGGGAATATGACTGGCTATGTGGCAGGTCAGAAACTTTATTCATAGGTATCGTGGGGAGACTGGGCAGAGGGGAGGAAGTGAAAAACCTGCAAAATCTGGTGTGAAAGTTAACTAAAAGAAAGGAAAGGAAAGGAAAAGAAAAAAGAAAAAGGGAGCCATAAACCCACCTCAGCTAAGAAAAGGAAATCAGAACAACAACGACGGTAATAATAATAATAATAATAATTAAAAATGCTCTTTGCTTCTCATGGAGAATTTGAAACTAATTCCACATCACATTGCTAGGAATGTTAGATGTCGCTTTCTTAACACGGCTGCAACTGGGGACCTGGGTCCGTTTCACCCCAGCATCCATTTGCACCCCTGAATTGCTGCGGTCCACAGCAACCAGGTCGGTCATAGAGGTCCGTGCGTCAACACCGCTGTCCACAGAGCGACCGAGACCAGGACCCCGCCGAGTCTGAGGCAGCTGCGAGGCCGGACGTCAGAGGAAGACGAGGTACAGGAGCAGACTTCACTTTCCGATCGGCTTTCGTCGTGGTATCCCTGTTGGGAGCGTCCCCTGGTCCTGGAACGTCCGGCTGGCTCCGGCGCATCGGCCTGCATGTCGCTGCACACCAGCCAGTCTTTTGCAATCGAGCGGGGATAGCCCGATTCGGCCTCCAGGTCGCTGTCCGCAACTTTCCAATATTCCTTGCCCTTGAAAAAGTAGGTGGCCCCTGGGAGAAGAGACCCAGAAAGAAGGGACAGGGTCATAGTTCCGACAGGTGAAACCCTTCAAAGAACTTCGAGGCATTGTTTACCTTAAAGAATCTTTATTCGAGTGGCACGGCATCAGCCAAGCCAAAATCTGGATTCCCCTCCCCTGCGCACATAGTATCCAAGCACAATTCCCTCCTCTAATTAGCAGTCATAAATCACATTCTCCAATTAGTTTGAAATGCGGGCTTTCCCGCCAGTTCTTCAACCCGCCATTCCTTACCATCTCTTATTTCAAACAACCTTGAAATCACACACGACTATGATCTTGTTATGTCTGACTAATTCTCATGCACATTCCTCCTCCCCCCCCAGTAGATGGCCCCAAATTGTGGTCATAAGTCAAGGACCACCTGTATGTATGTATATTGGTGTCCTGGCCTAATTGGGAGACGTGCCAAGCGGTCTCCTTACTTGCGGCAAAGATTGGCTCCAAGGAAGCTCTCCGGGCGTCCAAACTCACCATCTGACCAGTGCGTGGCATCGTCCAGCTGGCTGGGGATGCCTTTCCACAGCCTGCTTTCTCGAGGATAACCCGCCTCCATTCTCTGCTGGTGGTCATCGTAGCACCAGTGGAGATCATCTTTGAAGAAATAGGTCTTGTCGTTCTGAGCCCAAGAAAAGGCTGCATCGATGCCTCCTAAGGGCAAGCCGAAATCCGAGATGGGCCGAGGGTAGCCTTCTTCAACGTTGTTGTCTTTGAACACCCAATAGCGGTCCCCTGGGGAGAAGTAAGAGGTAAGTAAGCAATCACTTCTCATTCCTTTGGCCCAACTTTGCCCAGAATGGCTATAAGTCAGTGATGGCGAACCTTTTAGAGACCGAGTGCCCAAACCGCAACCCAAAACCCACTTATTTATCGCAAAGTGCTAGGGCTGCCTCAGCATTGTGGTGCCCTCATGGGGGGGGGCAGGGAGGCGCCTCTGAGTGCCGCCTCTGGCACGCAAAAACCGGGGGGCGCAAAAATGGGCCACCGTGCTGCAAGGCGCAAAAACGGCCGTGCCGTGGGGTGCAGATACAAGGCGCTGCACCATGCAAGAACAGGGCAGGGCCAGTGAGTATCATGCAGGCACTAGCCCCGCCCCATTTGCAGCGCGTGTGTGCTCGCGGCCCCGTGCACGCATGCACGCATGTAAAATGCTTCCCCCTCCCTTTTCTTCCAGTCCACCAATCAACAAGGGTTGGTGACCTCTGGTCTACCACCTCTACTCGAGCTTGCTTCGCCTCCTTTGTGCTGGGCGGGGCTCCTGCTCTGGGCAGCGGTGGCGGCCTGATGGACCTGCTGCTGGCGGCGGTGGCACGCGTGCCAACAGAGAGGGTTCTGAGTGCCGCCTCTGGCACGCGTGCCATAGGTTTGCCACCACTGCTATAAGTCAAGGATGGCCATCAGCTCACAGGGCATTAAGGAAATGAAAACAACCTTCCACATGAATCTCCAAGTAAGGAATGAAACAAACATGGGGAAACCAAACGTTTGGGGAAAGGAGAGTCACCAACGTAAAGCATGTCAGATGTTTCCTTCTACCTTTGAAGAATACGATCTTATGGTCGCGGGTCCTCTCGTACACCGCATCCACGCTGTCCAGGTTGAGAGGCAATCCCTTCCAGAAGCGATGGATCTGAGCTGGCTGAAGGGACACCAGGTGCTTGTTGCGAGTCAGTCGCCAAAAATACTTGCCTGGGTGGAGAAAATCCAGTTAGTAACTACTCATAAGGCAGCCCAAAGTGAGGATTAGCACTCCACTAGACCTTCTCTCCAGAAGTGACTGGACCAGGGATGTCCAACCTGGGCAACTTTAAGATGGGTGGACTTCAACTCCCAGAATTCCCCAGCCAGTTACAATGGCCGTGGAGGGCTGGGGAATTCTGGGAGTTGACTTCCACCCATTTTAAGGTTGCCAAGGTTGAGAAACATTGGCTTTAAAGCCTTGGTTAAACCAACCCTACTGAGTCATAGCAACCATAGAGTCTTATTCTAGAGAAGCCCGACCCTGGGGAATTCTAGGAGTTGAAGTCCACCCATCTTAAGGTTGCCAAGGTTGAGAAACATTGGCTTTAAAGCCTTGGTTAAACCAACACTATTGAGTCATAGCAACCATAGAGTCTTATCTAAAGAAGCCTGACCCAGGGGAATTCTGGGAATTGAAGTCCACCCATTTTAAGGTTGCCAAGGTTGAGAAACATTGGCTTTAAAGCCTTGGTTAAACCAACCCTACTGAGTCATAGCAACCATAGAGTCTTATCTAGAGAAGCTTGACCCTGGGGAATTCTGGGAGTTGAAGTCCATCCATCTTAAGTTGCCAAGGTTGGACACCCCTGGACTAGACCAAAAAGGTAGCGAAAAGGATGAAGTCCGTTCCCAGTGCTATAGAGAGTTATGTAGCTCACTTGAGGACATTTATGGATCTCTGAAGAATTTCTGGTATCTCAAAGGCAGAGCCTGCAAGCCCAAATCTTCCCATAGCAAAAATACGTTTGGTAAGTTGAGGTAGCCGCCTCCAAAATACATATTCAGGAGATAATCGGCTTTCTGCAGCTTTAGCAGCTGTTGACATTGTATTTACACACTTGAGGGACATTAAGCCCAGGCTGAAAAACAGAGGAGAACAGAGCAGAACTACTAACCCTGAAACATCTGCAGAATAGCTCAGATTTTTTTTATATATAAAAAAATTACCATTCCACAAATTCATGTCACTTTGCACTTCTTCCTTCCTTCGCTTTATTTGACGTTGATCTACGGGGGAATAACATCCCATCCCGAGGAAGTGGGATTTATAAATCCTTGCGTTAACGGCTAAAAAGGGGAATCGCGGGGGGAAAAGATGGAAGATTGAAGGAACCGGGGATCAAACGCGGTCTCTTTGCATCTTTACGAGAACTTTAGGCGATTAAATCAGCATCTTTTTTGCATCGGTAATGAAGCTTTTACCACGCCGTTGGGGGTAAGGCTCACCATTTAGTTTCCAATATCTTTGGGAGAAATGCCGTTCTTTCTTAAGTGGCATTTCTTCGGCTAAAAACGATAATTTAGAAGCTCAAAGTTCAAAGCGCTCCAGACAGCTCATTTGACAGGATGGAGAGGCTGCATGAGTTATGAGGAGGTGGGAGATGGCATGAGCTTTGCATACCAACACTTTCAGGTTTCGTCCATGGCAGCACTAAGCTGGGGTGAAACATTTCTGCCCCTGATGGTCTGAAAAGGGGAAACTGGTCAAGATTAACCAGGGGTGGAATTTGAGGGAAAGAATGATTACAAGGCTGAAATTGAGCAGCTGAATTTAGCAGAGGTTGGCATCCCTTCATGTTTGTGAGGTCACAGATATTCTCTGAGCTTGGTGGTTTCCTTGCAGACATTTCATGACCCAACTAGGCAACTTCATCAGAGCTAAAAGGGTTTGCTTGAGGACTGATGATGTAACCTAGTTTGGTCATGAAACGTCTGCAAGGAAACCACCAAGCTCAGAGAGCATCAAGGACTCTACAATCCTCCTGCTCCTCCTTTCCTGCTCCTCCTCCTGCTCCTCCTCCTCCCCCCCTCCTCCTCTCCACTCCAGAAAACCCATTCCCTTCTAGCACTGATGACGTAATCCAGTTTGGTCATGAAACGTCTGTAAGGAAACCACCAAGCTCAGAGAGCATCAAGGACTCTACAATCCTCTTCCTCATTCCCCGCTCCTCCTCCTCCTCCTCCTCCTCCTCCCCCCCCCCCCCCCCCCCCCCCCCCCCCTCCTCCTCTCCACTCCAGAAACACCATTCCCTTCTAGCACTGATGATGTAACCCAGTTTGGTCATGAAATGTCTGCAAGGAAACCACCGAGTTCATGGACCACCAAGGACCCCACCGTTCAACCCCGTTGACTCTGCTTGTCAGAAGGTGGCCAAAGGGGTTCCCGTGACCCTGGGACACTGCAACCCTCCCAAATACAGTACATGCCAGTTGCCAAGCCTCCGAATTTTGATCACATGACCACGGGGATGCTGGAACGGTCGTGAGTGCAAAATGGCCATGAGACCCCACTTTTTTCCATTGCTGTGGTAGCTTTGAACGGTCACTAAGCGGACAGTTATAAGGTGAGGACTACCTGTATATCTGCCCTGCCCGAACCTCAGCTCACCTCTGAAGAAGAAAACCTCTCCACGGATCTGGGCCACGGCATCGAAGTGTGTGCTGCATCGATTTGGCACGTCTCTTTTAAACCTGACAAAAAGGAGGAGATTCAATCAATCAATCTAGGTCCATGCAGAAGAAGAACATCGTGCATTCAAAATCTAAGGGACTGGTTTGGACAAAACTCAGCAGCCCTTTTTAGTGCGGCTGCTGATAAAAACAGGATCACCAACATGATCGCCAACGTCCGATAACGGATAGGGCACAAGAAGAAGAAGAAGTACAGGACGGTCGATGGAAACACAAAAGGAGGAGATTAAAAATAAGTCAAATAAACAAAGCCACCATCCTCCACTCACCACTGCCTGGCCAAATCTCAAAATTAAACTCTTTTAATTCTTGCCAATTTCAACACGAGAGATTTGTTCTTCAATCCCATAATATCCACTATTTCTGAGGACGTCTGACAGAGGACACCTCTGACAGCGGCACCCGATCCGCGAATCCAAACACTTTCCGCTCCAAATTGAAGAGATGGTATCTGGGGTCGGGATGGCGGAACATCTGTTCTGCTCGCCCGCCACCCAAATTTCACCCGATCCTAATGCAACGGTTCCTTTCAGCTTCCACTCCTTCCCAAAAGAAATTGGGGATGTGCAGTTTAGCTTACGGAACAGTGGAGTGATTCTCGGGGAAATCTGGCAACATGGGATGGTCATCTGCGTTCGATATTTCGGGTTTCGCCGTGGGAGACACGGATTCTCTGACTCCTGCAGAGGAAAAACCAGGTCGGATTAAAGCAAAGTGGCCTTCAAGGAGATCGTTCAAGTCAACGTTTCCAGAGATAGCATCTTCTAAGATCCCATCATCATATCCTCCACCATGTTCCCTTAGGCCAGGGGTCTCCAACCCCCGGTCCGTGGACCAGTACCGGTCCGTGGCATGCCATCAACCGGTCCACACAAACAAGCAAAGCTCCATCCGTGGGATGCAGGCAGCACACGAAACCACGTACTCTCCGGTCCGTGGAAAAACCTCTCTCCACGGAACCGGTCCCTGATGCCCAAAAGGTTGGAGACCTCTGCCCTAGGCCTTCCCATCTATTAATCTGGCTTCTGATGATTCCCCGTTCAATGTGAGTTCCCAATTCCAAATCATTNAGCTCAGGGACCACCAAGGACCCCCCCCCCCGTTTAACCCCGTTGACTCTGCATGTCAGAAGGTGGCCAAAGGGGATCCCATGACCCTGGGACACTGCAACCCTCCCAAATACAGTACATGCCAGTTGCCAAGCTTCCGAATTTTGATCACATGACCATGGGGATGCTGGAACGGTCGTGAGTGCAAAATGGCCACGAGTCCCTTCTTTTTTCCATTGCTGTGGTAGCTTTGAATGGTCACTAAGCGGATAGTTATAAGGTGAGGACTACCTGTATATCTGCCCTGCCCGAACCTCAGCTCACCTCTGAAGAAGAAAACCTCTCCACGGATCTGGGCCACGGCATCGAAGTGTGTGCTGCATCGATTTGGCACGTCTGTTTTAAACCTGACGAAAAGGAGGAGATTCAATCAATCAATCAATCAATCAATCAATTTATTACACCCAAAGGCCAACACATTAAATTAAACATTGAGATAAAACAAAACTAGACAGAACCAACACAAGAGGACACAGCAATATATTACAGTTAATGATGTAATCCAGGGGTAGTCAACCTTGGCTCTTTTATGACTCGTGGACTTCAATTCCCAGAATTCCTGAGCCAGCTTAGCTGGCTCAGGAATTCTGGGAGTTGAAGTCCACGAGTCATAAAAGAGCCAAGGTTGACTACCCCTGATGTAATCAATGGGCAACCAAGGTCTGCCTAGTTTTACAGACAGTATATAACAAAAACTAGCTAACTTCAGGAAAACGGAATCATACTGACCTGACCATAAAAATACATTGAGTCTAGTCCAGTGATGGCGAACCTTTTAGAGACCGAGGGCCCAAACTGCAACCCAAAACCCACTTATTTGTGGCCAGGTGCCAGGTGGGCGTGGCCCACTAGGTGGGCATGGCTGTGGTGGTCATGGGTGGGTGTGGCCAATGTGGGTGTGATCACCTCGACGTTGCTTATGGGGAGGGATGTCCGTGGGGGCCGGGCAGGGTTGGGGGAGATCCAGGTGGTCTCTGGCAAGTGGGGCGGTGGGCAGGAGACTCGTCCTGCGGGGAGAGGTGAGGCAGGGCGAGGCAGGGCAGAGGTGCCATTGTCACAGGGCAAGGTGATGCAGGGGCCAGGGCAGCTGCTGCCTGACACCCATCAGCCCCTGCACACAGAGGCCAGCGAGCGCATGGGTGCTGGGATACATCTGGCCATGTGGGACCTTGGCCACTTAGCGGGCGGCTGGTTGAACAGGGACGGTTGCCATCTCCAGGGCATGGCGCGCGTGCCCACAGAGAGGGCTCTGAGTGCCGCCTCTGGCACGCGTGCCATAGGCTCACCACCACTGGCATAGTCTAATGCTGGATAAAAACACGTGATAAAATCAATTATAAAAGATTATTAAAAAGATCTAAAATGTTTGTTTATGTTTCTGGCGAAGCCCCAGTGCTGCTGCGTAGAATCTGGCCACTTGCGCCGTGATCACCGCCTGCTCGTCCTTAAGCAGCCACTGGAGATAAATACTTTCCAAATGACCAGGATACCTATCCATTATGGGGAGGATGTGGGTTTTTTTCAAATAGCTCTGTAGAAGGAACATCGGAGTTATGTGTCCAATGGTCTCCACCTGTTCTGAGCCACAGGAGCAGAGTGTTTCAGCCAGTGGTATCTTTTTATACTTGCCGTACAGGTATAAAAAAAAAAGTATAAAAAAGTATAAAAGCCTAAGATTGAAAACCAGGCTTGTCAGATGCTATATTTTTTCTATCCTGCTCTATGGAGTAGAGAGTTGGTCTCTGACAGAAGGCCACCTGAAGAGACTAGAAGCATCTGAAATGTGGATTTACAGGTGGCTGTAACGCATAAGCTGGGTTGACAAGATCAGAAATGAGGAGGGGATCAACCGCCTGGGAAAGCCAAGGGAAATCGTCAAAACAATTAAAAAATGAAAATTAGAATATTTCGGACATGTGAGGCGACACCCAGAAAAATACGGTATGCTCCGTTTAATCCTCCAGGGAAAGATTGAAGGCAAACGAGGTCCAGGCAGAAGAAGAACATCGTGGCTTCAAAATCTAAGGGACTGGTTTGGACAAAACTCGGCAGCACTTTTTCGTGCGGCTGCTGATAAAAACAGGATCGCCAACATGATCGCCAACGTCCGATAACGGATATGGCACAAGAAGAAGAAGAAGTACAGGACGGCCGATGGAAACACAAAAGGAGGAGATTAAAAATAAGTCAAATAAACAAAGCCACCATCCTCCACTCACCCCTGCCTGGCCAAATCTACCTTTGGGCTCAAGCTCCACATTAAACTCTTTTAATTCTTGCCAATTTCAACACGAGAGATTTGTTCTTCAGTCCCATAATATCCACTATTTCTGAGGACGTCTGACAGAGGACACCTCTGACAGCGGCACCCGATCCGCGAATCCAAACACTTTCCGCTCCAAATTGAAGAGATGGTATCTGGGGTCGGGATGGCGGAACATCTGTTCTGCTCGCCCGCCACCCAAATTTCACCCGATCCTAATGCAACGGTTCCTTTCAGCTTCTACTCCTTCCCAAAAGAAATTGGGGATGTGCAGTTTAGCTTACGGAACAGTGGAGTGATTCTCGGGGAAATCTGGCAACATGGGATGGTCGTCTGCGTTCGATATTTCGGGTTTCGCCGTGGGAGACACGGATTCTCTGACTCCTGCAGAGGAAAAACCAGGACAGATTAAAGCAAAGTGGGCTTCAAGGAGATCGTTCAAGTCAACATTTCCAGAGACAGCATCTTCTAAGATCCCATCATCATATCTTCCACCATGTTCCCTTAGGCAAGGGGTCCCCAACCCCCAGTCTGTGGACCAGTACCGGTCCGTGGCATGCCATCAACCGGTCCGCACAAACAAGCAAAGCTCCATCCGTGGGATGCAGGCAGCACACGAAACCACGTACTCTCCGGTCCGTGGAAAAACCTCTCTCCACGGAACCGGTCCCTGATGCCCAAAAGGTTGGAGACCTCTGCCCTAGGCCTTCCCATCTATTAATCTGGCTTCTGATGATTCCCCGTTCAATGTGAGTTCCCAATTCCAAATCATT